TGGCTGATCAGACTCAGGATAACCAGAACGTCTGTGTCATCGACGTTAACAACAACATCACCGATAACAATGTCGGCCTCGACAACGCCAGTACCGCCGGCCATAATACGGTCCCTGGCGTCAACATGCCTGGACCTTCTAACTACAGGGACGGAGCCACGACTTCTTCTTCATCAATCCCTCCTCGACTTGAAGAAGATTAACCACCTCCCCTGAACTATCGACCCGTCCAATTTCACGAGGTCCCCGTCCCCGCCGGGGCACATGCCACGACCAGGGCACTGTTCGCGGCGATCAACCAAACCAACTATCTCATCTTCGTCCAGGGGGAAAGACCGAGAGCGCTTGAGGACGATCGAAGGCCCCCCGAGAAGACACAGGAGACCCCAATCTCCTCCCCCTCGACAAGCGGACGAACGTCCTCAATCTCCCCCGCAGAGACATAATCAGGACATCTCCAGAAGCCCGTCGCCCCGACCACTGGGGCGACGACCCCCTTTGGAGAGGGAACCGCTCGTTAACGCAGGAAGACGCGACTATGGCCCATCGCGGAAAGAATGAAGACCCCCCGGAGACAGACACGGGGGGAAACCATCAATGGTCGTACCACACAAGGAATGCTCCGTGCGACTAGGGCCACCGCGACCACCACTACATTGGATCTCCATCCTGCTCTCCCGAACGGAGTGACGAGGACGACCCTCACGGTCCCTTGTCACAAGCTATCATGGAGGCGCCCATTCCCCCGGGCATGAAGAAGCCTTCCCACTTAAAGGAGTACGACGGCATCGCCGACCCGGTCGACCATATAGACGGGTTCGAAGCCATGTTGCACTACCACAACATTGGGGGACCAATCAAGTGTCGGTTATTCCCTACGACTCTGAGGAAAGCGGCTATGGTCTGGTACAAAGGTATCGCCCCGGGATCAATTACCTCTTGGCGAAACCTGAAGAACCAGTTCATCAGCTTGTTCACTGCTTCACAACGACACCCAGAGACCGAAGCAACGCTCGAGGCCATCGTCTAGAAGCACGATGAGACCTTAAGAATTCATTGACCGCTTCAACCGGGAAGCCATCCAGGTCCCCTGCATGGACCATATGAAGAGGTACCTGCTGGAGAGGGGGCTCCTCCCTGGCACCGAATTCAGAAAAGTCGTAGGCATCGAACCACCTCGGACGTTTGATGCCCTCCTCAAAAAAGCCAGGGCCTACATGGACTACAAGGAGAGAGAAGCGGCCAACAGAGCCTGAGACCCCAGAAACTGCGGATCCAGCAGTAATCCGCGACAAGACATCGCTCCTCCTTGACGAATTGGAGAAAAGAGAAGGGACGATAAATCCCGAGACGCCGGGGAACAAAGGGGACCCTCAGGGAGGTTCACTGAATACACTTTGCTTCGTGGTCCTGAGGTGGATGCATTTTTGGGCCTCAGTTTCAGAAAACGCTCGGAAAGAGACGCCATTCAACCTACAATAAAAAAGAATCGTTAGTTGAGTTAGAAAAATCAAAAAACAGAGCGGACACATCCCCGCTTACAAAAGGAGCAAATAAACAGCTACGCCTTACCCAAGAGCCTCATGGCTTCCACATTCGAGGAGCACTCGAGCAAGGCCTTACTATTGATCAACCTATTGACCAAGAGATACTCCCCCTCCTCGTCAAACAACAGGGCGCCGCTCGCGTCCACGCACTTCACGGGGGAGAAACCTTTAATGTAAGCAGATAACTTCTCGTACGAAAGCTGATCTTAGGCATCCAGATCCTCGGGTCTCACCGTATAGTATTCGGGCATCTGCTTGTAATTCCTCCACTGCCATTCAAGCGGGAATCGGGCCATAAGTCGGGTAACTGGCCTCCCGTCCCCCATCTCTTCCACCCGGGCATAGAGAGAATCTATAGCCGCGTCCGTCAAAGGCTTCACGACGAAGTACCTCTCCTTAAAATTTCGCACAGACTCCAGATAAGGTCGAAAGAGTTTCCCGAACTGCTTAAAGGAGACCCATGCCTGTTTCCCTTGGACAAATTGTCTCTACAAGTGAAAGATGCAGAAGAAAAGGGGCAGCGTGGCGCATATCCCCAAGTATTGGCAGACGAGCTCGAATGCCCGCATGAACGCCAGCGCGTTTGGATGGAGTTGGGAAGGCGCCAACTGGAGCCATTGGAAAACCCCGACCTGAAAATCGTTAAAAGGCAGGCGCATCCCCGCCTCCTTGAAAGAAAACTCATACACGGGGAACCGTTTGCCCGAATACGCCGAGTATATCCTTCGGTCCCCATGAGGTATTTGAAGCATCCAATTGTTCGGAGCCCCTTCTGTGCGTTCTTCCGGGCAGTTAAACGCGTTCGTCGCATCCTGCGAAAAGCACGACCGTTTGTCCCTGGACTCCGGAGCAACCCAAGCCAAAGGATCCTCCTCATCACTATGGGGTTCATCATCGTGATGGGTGGCCGGAATGTCGCTCCCTCGACAACGTGCCATTGTACCTGAAAAGCAGGGGAAGTTAGTGAATTCGACATTATCAAATCCATCCTTCCACCGCAGATCAAGTGAAAGGGCGACGAACTCGACCCAAGCCCTCGACATGCTAAAGCAGACCATTACAATCCGAGGACATGTACTCGGGGAATAGTTCACCGAGCATAAAACCAAATACATACTAACCTAAGGATTCCCCTCGACACTATAACACAAATGTTCATAGGTGCCCGACACATTCATGAGTGCTCGACACGGAACCCATGAACCCAGATAAAAATCCGTGAATATTCATGAAACTCATGAATGTTTGTTCATATGTGCCTGGTACCTTCATGAGTGCTCGACACGAAACCCATGAATTCAGATGAACATTCATGAACATTCATCACAAAACGCATGGATGTTCATCCAATCAAGACAAATTTTTGACATTTAATCCAGAAAAGCCCAAGAAACGTGGTGTTGAGAGGTTATAACTTACTTGGATGAAGAACATTGAGGAAAAAACTGGAAAGTTGAGAGGGTCGCCTCACGCCATAAGCGAAGAAAAGCTGAGAGGTTGAGAGAACCGCTTCACGCCGCGAGCAAAGGAAGGATTGAGAGGGATCTTGAGAAGATGACAAATGAATCCCAAGGGCCCCCTTTTTATAGGCGACCCATACCCCAAGGGATCCCACATGAAGGGTCATCACCTCATTGGCCCCTTTTGCTTTTCCCTTGAAGGGGTGGCACCCCAAAACACTAGCCACATGGCTCAACCATCAAAAACGAAATCCTCTGGACTGGCGAGCAAACGCACGACTCCTACAAGTCACCCACAAACGCAGGGGGCAAACACTTATACGAGGAAGTGCTCGGCACTAGAGTGCGCGAATGGGCACATCTATTTAACCATCTCGAAGACGAGGAAATGCTCGACAAACTAACAACTCCCAGGAGACGGGCATGTCAAAGGGAACCTCGCAGAGGCCCCTCACCGCCAATATGCCCCCTCGAGCAAGCGGTTGAACCTTCTGGTCCCGATCCCCGTTTGTCCATGATATTCCCCGACGTATTTGAGCCTGCCCCCCGCGGGCAACGATCTGCTCCCTTCGGGGATTTCAACCCTCTACCTCGACCAAGCCTTCGGTAGCGAGAGCTGAACTCAAGTCATCGCCCTCTAACCCGAGGACAATAATTTGGGGGGCTCCTGATCTGGACTGGGCCTACATTTGCCCTACGAGCGAGAGGCCCAAAGACAGTCCAAGTTAGGGATTATGGGGCACCTCCCCATCCAACCGTTGGGGGACGTGACCCACCATCTCTCAACAGACATATCAAACTGCCCTCCGGGAATCTCGGGTCCAACCCTATTCTCGCGAAGCAGTTGACCAGGGGGGAGTCCACTTGCTGAACTCCATACTCACGTAAATCCTGGTAGTTCCCGTTATTGAGCCTCTGCGTGGCCCAATAGTGAGGACCTTGGCCCATCGTCGGGGACTATAAATACCCTCTCTCATGAGAGGGTCAAATATTCATTCAATCACACCTAAAACTCATACTTGCTTGCTCATTCTGCTTCTCATTTTGTCATTAGAGTGTCTTACAGGTATTCCCCAATCTCATTCAAGCTCAGCCCGAAATCAGCTGTGATGGTCCAACTCTGATCAGGTTAGATCAAAAATTAATTTAGATTTTCTAAATTTTGTGAGAGTAAATGAATCTTCATTCAAATATTAAATTAAATTAAAAAATAAAAAAATCATTAAACTTATTTTATTGTAAAGTGAATTTAAAAAATATGAGTGTTGTTGATGATTATTGTAACTGAGATAAAAAAAAAAGAGGTAAAAGCTAACCTGTGCCTTAAAAAAAAACTATTTTTAGACATATTTTCTTAGAATTTAGGTATTCAATTTAGAAAACTAAAATTTTAAATAAGATTTTATTACAGATGAACTTTTTCTAATTACAGTATTTTAAAGGCACATGTTCGATCCAAAAATAAAATAGTAAGAATAAAGTAGGCATTGAAAAAATAGTAGTATTAAATTAATTTCCGTTTCAGCATTTACGAGGTTAACTCAACATTGGTTTGCGTTTGTGTCTTGTGAGTGGAACCAAGGTGAGAGAAACCGATAAAAAACAAGACAAACCATGTAACCCACTCACTCCTCTTTCTCGTTTACTGTTCTTATATTCATAGACACTCTTTGAAATACACAAAACAGTTAACAACAATTTTCCCTTTTTCTTCTTTACTTTAACTTTATCACTACTTCCCACACCCCCCCCTTTTCAACACCCGATATTTTATTCTCTCCACAATCCTCAACAATTCCCAATTCATTTTTTTTTTGTCTTTCATGTTTCGTAAAACCAATAATTGAACCTCCAAAACCACTTTCACACACAGATTCAGACTATTCCACTTTCAACAAGGTTTGTTTCTTACTACTATTTCTGAATTTTGCTAATTCTATCAACATGTTTTGAAACCTTGTGTTTTTTTTGTTTTTTTTTCAGGTGGATCAACATGTTACCTGAGATATCTGATTCAAACATGCTTTTATATTTACCTGATGATGTTTTTGCTATAATTTCTCGATCTTTTTCACCTAGAGATATATGTAATCTGAGTTTATGCTGCAAGAGCTTGAATTCTCTTGTGGCTTCTGAGAAAATCTGGTTGACTCAGTGTGAAGTTTTGGAGATAGTGTCTCATAAGGATCTTGTTGAGTGGAGAAAGGGTGTGTCTTGTTACAAGGCACTTTGTCGTTTTCTGTTGAAAGTTCAACCTTTGATTGGGATATGGGTTCATCAGAATCCGGAGCTAGGGAACGTTGTGTATGTGATGCCTGGTTTTGTTTCTGTTGTTGGTTGTAGGATTATTCCTCAAGAGGTTGGGCCGTTAGGTATGGAGGACGGTCCGATTCTATGGGCGTCTGTTTTTGAAGTTGTTGCTGATTTTGATGGTTCGACGATGTTTTTCCTTCATGGAAGGGAGAAGGGTGTTGATTATGTTTATCCTGGTTTGGCTAAGTCGATCGATAAATTTTGTAATGTATTGTTGCTCGAGGTTGAGCCGGAGAAATATAAAAAAGATGGTTCTTTGTTGCAGAGTAAGAGTTTTGTGCATTCGTCGGGTTTGGAGTTGTCTAGGAAGGTTGGTAGGTCAAATAGTGATATTTGTAGGGCAAAAATTGCGAGTGAGGGAAATGTTAGTTTTAGCAAATTAGCTTTTTCTGATAGAAGTAAGTTGCTTGAGGTTACTACTAGCCAAGTTCGACAAAAGGTTTCGGATGCGTTGATAGGACCGTTGTTTCCTAGGTTGAGGGATGATGAGGAGAATTTTCAGAAAGATTTGGTGCTCTTGAGAGAAAGAACAGTAGTCCTTAGACAAATGTACAGGCTTTGTTGTAGTGAGAATGAGATTGACTATAAGGCAAATTCACAAGAGGTAGACTTCGATGATAAACCTTCCAGGGCCGTGCCTGATTCTCTGTTTGAGGAGGATGGTGGCGCACAATGCGTCAAGAGAAAAGGAATTCGCGGATATTTCTGGAATAGTCTTAAACATATTCTAGGAAGATCAAATTCAGTTAATGACAGTCATTCGGCTTCCAGGAAGCTTACTACAAGCGGTGAGATTAGGCATGCTAGACTTCAAGAGTTTCTTAGATCGAGTGAATCGATAAGGCTAAACTTGAATGCCTCAAATATGAAACTATCCTCTTATAGAGCATGGCCGAATATGCATGATAGTAGGTATGCACTTTACAAGTTACCTTTGCGAGTTCCCGGTGCTGACCAAGAATATGCTGGATTATGGGGAGGTGCTTTTGGTTGGCCTCCAGGGAAGCCTTCCGAAGACAAATCTGGAAAGGCTTTGTTTTTTCTTCTCCTCTCTTATGAGGAGTTTCAGGGTCAACAACTTCTCATTGCAACCAAAATATTGGAAGGCACACACTATGTCTTGCATCCTAATGGTTCAGCAATGTTTATAGCCAACATCAACGAATCTTCATCGGAACCTTTTCCTTGGAACACTGATGCAGATTCATTGCCGGTGAATATCAAGCATGCTTTCACCGGAGAGGGTATTGCAAATGGTTACGGGTTTAGATATCCTGGATCAAAGCCGGGCTCGCTCTTTGTTTTTCATAATGGCGTAATTGCATTCATTTGGAAGGAATCAAGGGCTGTGTTGACCTTGCAAAGACTTAACTTGCAAGAACTTTTGAAGAAGGGTGAAAGGATACCTTCTCTGCTTCCCGTTGCCAATTTTTCATATCTGACAAAGTCCTACTCGAATGTGTTTGCCGGCATTCCCACCTCTTCCAATTCTTTGTCTTCGCCAAGGTTTGCCTTAATTCTGACTCATCAGTTTCTTTAACTTCAAAGTTTCTCCTCAATCCTTGCACATGTTCATGCCTTTATGGTTTGCTATAATCTTACAACTATGGCATATTTGATGTTAGTTTTCGTGTTAAATTGTTATATTGTTGGTTCATTAAGTTTATTGTTGTGTTATTAGAATATGGATCTGTTGATTACTGAAATTACCGGAGATGAAAAGTGTATTTGTTACAATACTGTTTGGAATCATATTTGACTAAGGCCATGTTTGGATAAACAAAAATGCTTATCATATAACTATACGCTTCTTCTGTTGTTGACTACTGTGCATGATCTTCCCTTTCTAAAGAAAATCTAAACCAGGGTTGCATGTTTCTTTACAGGAAAGGACGATGCTAGTATATTAAGCTTTGAAGGCGCGAAATTGTCATTGCTGGTGTTGCTTTGCTTCTGGCTGAGCGGAAAACACTTCCTGCCGTGGTGTTTTCTAGTTGTTGCTTATTGGAACCAAAGACAGAGAGAGGATACACGAGTCTATGCGAAGTAATGTATTATGAAGTAAATTTCTTGATGAATTGCGGTATCATAATACTCTTTGTTGTAGTATATATGGGAGAAAGTATACAATAAAGTTGTTCTCTACACTATGTATAAATTGGCATGAATGTTGCCATTGTGTGCCAGACAAGTTACATTACATTTCCTTAAAGTAACATCACATTCTATCACCAAAAAAGTATTTAAAATTATCCCTATGGGTAAAGAAAGTTGATATTTTTTTGTTGTTGATAGATTGGCTATTAGTATGTTATGGTAGTAGTTGGAGTTTGAATCTTAAACCTCATTTTTAAAGTCCTACAGATGTCTCTGTTCAACTACTTTACTGCAGTTTAAGTCATGTGTATCCCCACCTCCACCAACTTGGTGTTGATTATTTTTTGTACTCAGCATTATTCTTCGGGTTTGTATGCATTGTCAGCAATGTGTCTACATCAGGTCAATATCGTCTTCAATTCTCAAACAAACAGAAACTCATTTATGAGAGATTTAACACCGTTTGGTTTATCATTTGCATTGGGATATCATATTGAAGTTCAAAACTCATTACCCAACTGTTAGGATACTAAAATAGAACCCTAACAAACTTAAGGAAAAACTAACTAATAAAAGATAAACTTCTTTTTCATCTCTTTGTGTCTTACAATGTTTGTTTTTTATTTTTATTTTTATATATCTCAACTCTTGTAAATTATCATCATATTAAAAACTGAAGTCTAAAATCTAAAAGAAGATACCACGGTTAAATAATTGCTCTACAAGATACCAAGGTTAAGCTGATTTTGCCAAAATAAGCAAGTCTAAAATCTTCACATCTAATGTAGTATCAGTGCCATCCATGCCGATCAAACAGAAGGAAAAATAATAATAAAATAAAGATCAGCATGGTTCAACAAATGAATTGCAGTATCAGATTGTCTGAACTGTAGTTAGCTAATACTCTCGAGCCTGGATTTCCATCTTCCCAGTTATCCCTAGCAGGACTCATTGGTTCATAAGGATTCCAAGCCCGATCACACGTAGGTGTCCTCATTCCATCATGAATTGGAGTTGGAGTGGCTCTGGGATCTCTCATTGGAGTCTGTTGTACCCCAAAATTTGCCCTCTCATATTTCTCAATACATGTCAAGTGAGGTTCTCAAATTGCTCAAGGAAGTCCAAGGATTGACCAGACAAACTCTCTCCTAAGGCAGTCTACCTCAAATTAGGATTTCATTTTACATCAAGATGTTTGAATCCAAAGGGTCCCAAATGCTCACCATTACCTTAATATGTTCTCAAGATCATCCATGTCAAGTTTCAAGCCTTACAGAGGAAGTTTGCTCAGTCAATTGCTCAAAGGCCTGAAAATCGACTGTGTTAGGGTAAAAGTCAACTGTGGCCCACATACAGTCAAACTTTAAAATTTTTGGTCAACATTCTCACTTTGAAGTATTTTTCATCATTTGATCAAAGGTTGATCATGATTCCTCAAGGATTGCTCACAATTCATCAAAATCCAAAAGTTGCTAAATTAGGGTTTTGTAGAAAAAGTCAACTCAACTTTGACCAAGCATAACTTTCTTATACTTTATCAAAAATGACCCATCCAAAGCTCATTTTGAATAGGATGTAATCCCCTACAATCCATCTTCATCTCCCAAGTTCAAAATATGCATTCACAAGAAGATATAAATTTGGACATTATAGGTCACTTTGAAAAGTCAACAAAAATACCTTTTGGATAAAAGCTTCATACATGAACATGGAAGACTCAATTGAGATGAGACAAAAAGTATTTCTTAGAGGACATCTTAAGCTTTCTAAAAAGTCTAAGAATACATCTCTAGGGTCAAAATTGAGAGAGTTATGCATTGGCCAAGTTGACCCTTTTTGCAAAATTGCCAAAAGTCAAATGTGTCCAAAATTGCATTTTTTGTCAAATGGGCCCAACTTTTTATGCTTGCACTGAGTTTGTAATGTGACCCACGACCCCTGAGCCCTTCACTTGTCATTCTTTTATTTTTGTTATTTATTTTGATTTTATTTCATTTAAATCAAATAAAATCAATATAAATAATGAAAATATAAAAAACTAATTAAATCTTGAGATTTCGTGCATGATTAGGTCCATTACACAGCTGGAGACAAGATCAAATCGTGCAAGGCTCCATTTGGACACAAAAAGATTGAATTTGCTTAATTTGGAAAGATTTGGTGTAAGGATTGAACCATGAATCAATATTCATAATTGGAGAAGATTTGAAACAAATTGTAACCCTAATACATTCTAGGATACATAAGGAACAAAGGCAGATCAAAAAAGAAGAGGCTAGAGGCGTGCAAAGGAGAGAACAAATTTCAAAAATTCAAGAAAAAGTTGCAAACTGATTTCCAAGTTTCAGGCCATCTCAAGCCATTCTGATCATACCAATTGTTTGCTGGACATCCTAGGATCGTGCTTCAATCGCTAGCAAGCTTCCCCACGCCTTGAAACACCCTATAAGAGTCACACGGTTTCCATATTTTCTTGAATTCGAATACATTAGTTCTGGCATATTTATCATGATTAATAGACATATTCTTAATCCTTGAGATGTTTGCAAGCTAATGGTTATATTTAATTGCATTTTTGTTAACTGAACACAAAGTTGTCATGGCTAGGGTTCGTGCTTCGTTTTTAGGGGTTTTGTGTACAGGGAAAATTGGACCTTAATAATGGTACCATGATGCTCGTGAGGTTGCAACGAGTTGATTGGTACCATTGAAATTCATTTATCATGTGTGTACAATATTTTGGAATGAACAGGAGCTGTAGTTACACTCAAATGTCTGTAGGTAAAAACTCCAGGGCTAACACGACGGTGGGAGGAAGAAGATGGTCATGTGGCGCTCCATGACTTGCCAGTTTAAATTTCGTGTGTTTTGAAATATAACTTTTTGATTTTATCATATGATTGTTATTGGTCATATGTACAATTGAATCAGCCAGCTCATATGGCAAGCGTGCAGTGGGAGAACGCCTAAGGGCCTGGGTTCGATCCCTAGGTCCCAACTTTATTTCATGTTTTTCTTGGACATGCAATCTAGTGCATCTCACACTCTAGGATCCATCATGCACTCTCCAGATATGATCATCCAAACCACCAACAAGGCAGATCTAAGGCCTTCCCAATGAAGGTCCACCATGTGCCTAAGTCAAGCGTATGCATGGGATTGGAGAAGTCAAAAGGGCCAGGAGCATTGTTGGGCCAAGAATTTCCAACGACACCCCCTTCTTGCTAAACAACACCAGGCTCATTCCTTTTTTATTTTTTTTCTTTCTTTTATTTTATTTAATTTGCTTAAATGTTTTTTTAACAAAATTAATTTTTTTTTCATAAAATCATAAAATCAAGAATTTCACAAAAAAAATTAGAATTAGGTTTTATTTTATCAAATTTAATTTAAATATTAGTTTAATTTAATTTAGGGTAATTCTAACTTTTTATATATAATTAAAAGCAATTAGAAAAATTAGGGTTAGTTCTTGATTTAATTTTTTTTCTTCCTTAAAATAAAAAAAATACAAAAATAGGTTAATTTAATTATTTTTCTTAAATTTAAATTAATTAGTAATTAGTTTTTTTTTATTTATTCAATTAAACTTTATTTTCTCAAACAATCAAAAACGACAAAAAAATGATTTTTCTTTTAAATTATAATTAGGTAGTTGGGGTCAAAACCCTAAATCTCTCGTTTTCGATTCATCACGCGCATTTATTATTTTTACAATATTAATGTAACTGCTCACGGTATGTAATAGTTTAATCTAGGGCTTTCTTTTATTTATCGTCTTTTACGGGTTTTTTTGGCTGTGTAATTACCCTACCCCGAAGCCTTGTAATAGCGTAGGTTTTATTTCTCGCATTTTAATTCTCGCAAATATTAATTGTTTAGATGTATGTTAATAGGATTGTATGACAAGATTGCACGACAATTTAAAATGGCTAGAAAATCCTAATGCGCAAAGATAATAACTGAAATCAAATCACTCGCACATGCACACTCTTAGGGTATACTCTCACTTCGGTTGCCTTCGGTAAACAATCATTAAATATAGGGTGTCTTAGTGGTTGCCCATCTGTCTAACAATGATCAAAAGTCCCATTCGGAAATGTTGCCTCGGAAATGTTGCCTCGAATATGATCTTAAGACTCTAGGGTTATTACTAAGACATCCTAACATTGCTTTAGTAATTGTACGTCCCTTTCGAATTGACCCTTACAAACTCCAACGACGGTGCTACCTATTTTTCAATAGTGAGATATCGTTGTCTAAAGGAAACGAGAATATAAACAATATTTTTTCGAGTAGGTAGATTCTAATAGGTACTTGCTCAAGTCAAGCTTTTCACACTTACACTTTTTCAAACTAAAGTTTTCAAAACAACTTCGTAACACTCTTGAGGACAGAAACAAGGGTTAAAACGAAGTAAAACAAAACTTTTCAAAACAAACACACACAAGCAATTTTAAAAGATGAGCAAGTACCTAAGAGCCCATGGAAAACCAAGGATAGAAAGGATGCTAACACCTTCCCTTTTTATAATCTACCCCCGTACTCAGAATATCTCAAAAAAGGATTTTTTTTCTGTGCTTTTTTCCTTTCCGGTTGGATGAAATAAAAGTCGGTGGCAACTCTTGCTTACCGCTACATTTTGTAAACAAAAAACGCAAAACGCAAACCAACATTTTCAAAAACAGTCGGTTCTGCCACCGTATCACAGAACTGGCGACTCTGCTGAGGAATATAAGTGGGGTATACCTTAGGATTAGTTCATCATATTTTGCTCCTCTTATTTGTTTTGGTTGCTTTACTTT